GACTCACGTTTGCCCCTTATGCATTTTTGAAATATGACTCATGTGAAATGTCAAAATGCTCTATAACATGCTTCTAAATCATGTATAAACTAACATGAAATATTCAAGAATATAGCATCATGCTCGGTTTGCAACATAGCAATTTCTATATATACATTTCACTCAACAAATATGCTTCTATTCTCATTGATCAAATAATACAATTTAATCATACTTTCATAATAAATCATATTCTCAAAGGATCATGCTTCTTTATTCAATAAAATATCATCAGATCACAATAATCAAATAATTCTTCATACACAGTAAACTAGCAAATTATTCACTGTGTAGCAATTCTTCACAAAATCCTTCTTAACATACTTGTTTTTAATCCAAATTCAACGAAATCAAAGCCCCAAAATGTGCGTCGAGACGATCCCGAAGAGTCGAGCCACAAGGGCCCGTAACACTCGGTCTGAAACGTCACGTAGTTGAGCCACAAGGGCCCGGCCACTGCACAAAAATCCTTCACAAACAATACTCAGGGACCTGGGGCGGGACTCTTCATGGTTCGCCCCTGGAGCCCCGTTGAAGCGCCGGGACTAGGCAACGGCCCTCCTCTAGGGCCGTGCCCTAGTCCCGTGCCACCACGGCTCTAGCCGGCGGCCCTTCTGGTGGGCCGCAGCTAGGGCCACCACTCTGATCTAGTGCACACTGTGTTGTGCACCAGATGGCATTTCTCCTGCAAAATCTCATCCAAACAAGTCCAAAACAATCTCAACAACTCACAAGCACATACTAAATCACTTCTAAGCATAAACACATCAAAAACTCATAGTTTCTACTCATTTCTACTCAAAACTAGGCTTCACAGAGCCAAATTTAAAGAGGAATCCATGGGGTTATACCTCTTGTAGTCTAATCTTCTTGCTTGGATCTCTTGTTCCTCTTGACCTAGCTTGAGCCTCCTTCACCACCTACACTTCCCAAACACCTTCTATCCTTAGCCTAAAACCTCAAAGACTAAAGGAAACTAGAAGAGAAAAGAGACTAGAATACAGGATGAACAAGCTTACTAGGTTGTTGTTTTTCTCCTTGTTGTTGGCAGACAAAAATAGTGAGGAAGAGGCAAGGAATGAGATCAGGAAAATGAGATGAAATAAGGTGGTTTATATAGGGTTCAAAACCCTAAGATGATTCACAATGATTGGTTGAGGACAAAGGGGTAGTTTTCCAAGCTAAAAGATGAATCAATAAGAGATTTTGGGTGTCTTGTGGTCCACCATGTAACATGAACCATAGGATAGAAATGTTATCTTTTATTGTTTTGGGGTTAAAAGTGAATTTTCTCAAAAGCAATATGGATGAACACTTGTTCAAAAAAAATCCCTTTTTAATTCTTCCGGTCTCACTCAGATAAAATTCTCGTTTTAAATCTTGGTACGCGAAGTACCCGAAAACTTAGGAATTTTCGAATGGAATTTATTTCTTCGGTGTCGAATTAATTTTAAAAAGCGATGGAATTATTTTATTCATACACTGATTGATCGCAAATTTTTTTTTATTGAAGTGAAAAAGCTATTTTGGAATTTCTTAATACTGGATTTATAAAATGAAATTTTGGGTTGTTACACATATGATTGGTTGATGGCAAAATTGTAATTTCCATTGGCTAGAAGATGAATCAGGAAAGGGTTTTGGATGTCTAGTGGTGCACCATGCTCCATGGACTAAGGGCTAGAATTGCTATTTAAAATACTTTGGGGTTGAAAAGAAATTTTCTCAAAGAGTTTTCTAGATGAACACTTGTTTAAGGCTTCACAGAATTCTCCCGGTCTCATTCAGATTGGTTTCTCGGTTTAAAACTTGGTACACGAAGTACCCGAAAATTTAAGATTTTGGAATAAAAATAAGTTTTGGTGTCGAATTGATTTAAAATGTGTTCAAAATAATTTATTCAAACACCAATTGATTGCAAATTTTTTTTTAACGGAGTGAAAATGGCTATTTTAGAATTTCTTAAAATTGGATTTAGAAAATTAAATTTTGGGTTGTCACACTACCCGCTCTGTTGCCACATCCAAACCAGTCCGATGCTCCGCTGTAGTGTCCCCAGGTTCCTCATTCTCACCACCTTCTGTTGCCAATGGTGGAAATCTGGATGACTGAATTCTGCCATCTCGCACGGAGTTGTTCGCCTGAACTCTCTCTCCCATCGCCCGTTGGTTTCTTTCTACTGGTCACGCCCTACGACCAGGTGCAATCATCCATGCGCTGAATGGTTCAGCACCAACTTGTATCCCACGTTGTCTTGCAACGGCCTGAACTGCGTATTTGGATTGCCCCTCCGTTTCTCTCTGGCGATCCTCCTTTGCTTCCGGCACAGCCTTGGGTTTCTTAGGGCATTCATCAGGTGCATGCCCATATATCCCACATGCAAAGCACACTATATGAATGCCCTCATAGGCGACTGATCTGACGCGGCCCTTGTAATTGAATTTCGAGATCAATGGTTTCGTAATGTCAACCTCGACACAGATCCTTGCGAACATTCCTCGTGAGAAGTTGCTCGTGGCTTGATCCACGCGTAGGGTTCTTCCCACTTTATTTCCTAATTTCCTTAACAAAATTATGTTGTAATATTCCGCTGGTAAGCATGGAATCCTTACCCAAACCACTACCTTCTCCGTGACGTCTGAAAAAGGATCGAAATCTGGTACCCATAGTTTAACAATTAATAGTGATCCAATATCATCCACAGCCCTTCATACATAGCAAATGCCATATCATTTACAGATTCAAATCGCACGATGAAGTAACCATTGTCAATAGCAATCAGATCTAAGCTCCCTTTAGGCTTCCACATGGCTGTGATCCTCCGCAACAAATATGCGTACCCCACTGATCTGCCCATCACCTTGATGATGATCGCATTTCTCCATGGTGCCCTGATCTCTTCCACTTCTTTCTTTGTGAGTCGAGTAGTCGGACACAACGGGTTATCATCGTCCTCATCAGCCTCCGCCTCGCGATCGTCCTCGTCATCCTCTGCTACGGCCTACGGATTGCACGGCCTGAGCTTGTTGGCCAGTAACACTCTGAGCATATGTCCGTTGGGGCGTCTCTGGTACCTGCGAAAGATTAGGAATCGTTATGGGAATTAATGAGTTTGTCTCTTGAGATACCTGCATGATCGCCGGCGTGCTAGCCTCCACCATGTCCTCCGTGGGTGTCTCATGCACGATGTCGACATTAGCCTGCGGTTTCTCCACCGTGTCCATCAGATAGCTGGACGATAAGGCGTCAGTTCTTTTGTGCTTCTTCGTACTCCGTTCTAGCAGATCGCGATCCTCCTTCGATCGCTGTTCCGAGAGAGCTTCTCCAGTCATGTTCTTATCGTTTTGCCCTAATAAATTTGAGTTTCAGTCACGATAGATAGATATAGATAGATGTATATACAATAAATTATATAGATAGATAAATAGATATATATACAATAAATGCTTTCACACTTTGGAAGGAAAATTATATATATATATATATATATATATATATATATATATATATATATATATATATATATATATATAGGGAAGGGTTTAGGTGTGGGCATAGCTTCCCGTGCGATTGTGCGGTTAGATCTGAGCCGTTGATCAAATTTAGATTAACCGCTCAAATCAATGAAAATTAAAAAAAAAAAAAAAAAAAAAAAAAACGTGCGCGTGTCTGGAACAAAGAAGCATAAGCTAAAAATGGCGCACCTTAAGGGATAGAAACATGCACCTTTAAGTGTTAGATCTTAAGCACAAACTCACGCACATTAAGTACAAAACCCACACACATTAAGCACAACCTCACACACATTAAGCACAAAACCCACGCACTTTAAATATTAACTCTCAAACTTTAAGTTTCAACAACTACTGACATTAAGCACAAACTCACGCACATTAAGTACAAAACCCACGCACATTAAGCACAATCTCACGCACATTAAGCACAAACCCCACGCACTTTAAGTACTAACTCACAGACCTTAAGTTTCAACAAGTAATGACATTAATCACTAACCTCACACACATTAAGCACAAACCCTACGCACATTAAGCACAAACTTCACTCACATTAAGAACAAATCTCACGCACCTTAAGCACAAAAGTCCACACTTTAAGTTTTAACAACTAATTCTATATATATATATATATATATATATATATATATATATATATATATTTAAATCAAATTAAAAGAGAAATATAAAACAGATTAATTTTAATAATAAATCAAAATCAAATCGTTAGATTTAGTTTAATTTCGACTCAATTCAGTTTAAATAACCCAACCGAAATACCCACCCCAAGGCCCCAATTGACCGGCATGGGATTTTTTTTTTTTTTTTTTTTTTTTTTTTTTGAAATAATCGGCATGAGAATTCAAAATGTGTGTTAAACTATTTCAAGTTTCGTTAGCAGATGCTAACTATGTGCTCTACTTCTATGTTCAATTTTCACCCCTACAATCTATCATCACTATTATAATGTTTTTTACCATGATCCACCGATTAAAGTACACACAACACAAGTTTCAATTAATTAAAACCAAACTATCATAAGACTTTATATAAAGAAATTTCCCCAACGCTCATTTGATTTATTCACATTATTAAAACCCTCAAAATTTCACTTTATGAATCAAACTCCTCTCGTTTAGACCACAAATTACAAGAACGATAGGCTTTCACTTAATCACGTCAGATGGGTGACCCTGCACTCAATGGCAAATTATTATTGTGTGGACCTTAGACTATCCATAGTGATGTGTAAAATATAACACAAAGTACATTTTAAATATACTAAAAGTTCATTATTCGTGTACTGAATGTACATTACACAAAATAATGTACTTTCAGTACTCAAATAATATATTTTTTCTGGATACAATGTACATTTTTAATATACTAAAAGTACATTATTTAATAGTATGGTGACACAATAATGATTGGCACTCAATTGGCTTCCAGAAAAATTATCATGGTTTTCAAATTCTAGTATTGAACTATCATCACAAACCAAACTAAAATTTCAGAAGGCTTACGAGAAATAAAACACAATAGTAACTGTTATATTGTGATCCGTGTATATAATATAATGCTTTCTATTCATATTGTACAACAATGGCCTCCTTTACCACTATCCACCCATCTTTACCACAGTTTTCTTCAGAGGAATAGTTTGAACAACTCTGCAAAGATGACCCCAGTAAGGTTATATGAAGAAGCAGCATAATAACTGATCCAAATATGTTTCGCAATATTAAATGATTGGTCATTAGCTAATAGGAGTATTTCATATTCGAACAGACAAGTTCATATATAACAACATTAATGTGTTTTACTATTGTTAAGTTTGTTTCTTAGTAGCAGTTTAGATTTTTACATTTTTAATTCATAAAAAAAAATATTAATTAATTAAAGTATACATATACATCATATAAATATAAAATATATTTAATACAAGTTATTATATATTACTTATATTTAATACTCCATATTAAAAATAAAATAAAATAACTAGGAAGATCTAATTTTCATAGAACTCAGAAAAATTAGCTTCTTTTGACTAGGGCTAAAAGCTTTTCAAAAAATTATTCACCAAATACATCTTTTATATATATATATATATATATATATATATATATATATATATATATATATATATATATATATATAGAATCGCACTCAGGTGCGAATGCTTCGCCCAGGCGCGAAATAGGAATGAATTCTGTTCGTCCACGTGTCCAGATCTAATGGATGAGAAACACTGATTTTTTTAAAAAACGCGGTGGCATTTTCGTAAATAATTGAACATCGAAGTGCAAGTAAAATGTATTACATATTAAGTCAACTAGTTTGTTATTAGTTTGTTATAATAAAGTAGAGTCTTTAGCTGTGTCAAGCTCCCCCACCTATTGTGGTGGGCAGCTCTACTATATAAGCCTTGTAATATTTCTTCACCGGGAATATATATTGAATCCTGAGTTTTCCCTTCTCATTTGGTATCAGCCTAAAATACGATCCAATGGCCAACCCACCCACAGTCACATCCAACCCCACTCCCGCCGACTCCTCCGAACGAGAGAACCAAGCAGTTGCGCAACCTGACCGACGTCCGGCCAGTGTATTGCAGCAGGCGCATCACTATGTTTCACTAAAGTTGAATGCCACGAACTACCTGTTCTGGAGAGCGCAGCTGGTCCCGTTCTTGAGAGGCCAAAATCTCTATGGCTTTGTCGACGGAACGAGTGTGTGTCCGCCGGAGTTTTTGCCTTCCCCGACCACGCCGATGGCAACCCCGGTGGTGAATCCGTTGCACGCCGACTGGGTCCAACAGGACCAGTCCATTCTAAGCATGCTGTACTCGTCCATGGCGGAGGAGGTACTATACCTCGCAATCGGCCACAACACTACCAGGGCGGTTTGGGTCTCGGTCGAAACAGCCTTGGGCTCGACGTCGCGTTCCCGCACCCTCAGCTTACTGACACAACTCCAGGGGCTTCAGCAAGGGAACTCGTCGACATCCGAGTATCTCGGACGTGCCAAAATTCTCGTCGAACAGCTCGCACTGGCCGGTCGGCCGATAGGACTGGACGAGCAGAACCTGCACCTATTCAGGGGTCTCAGGCCAGAATATCGGTCACTCGTTGCCTCCCTCACGACCAAAAGTGCTCCCCTGACCATATCGGAAGTAGCTGATCTCCTTAATACTCACAGCTACCTTTTTCCGGAAGAAGCTGCACCAGTCGGCCAAGCTTATAAAATGTAAAATGTATTATAGGTGCAAGTAAAAATTTACACTGAGCATCAATACTTAGTTGCACCTATAGTTCTAAGTAGTTGCACACATAGTTATAAGTAGTTGCACCTAGGTGTATGAATGTTTGCGAGTGGTTTTCAGGGGTATTACTACCCGCTGAACTCAAATCAATGAATGTTAACAAGGCAAAATTACATGCACTTATAGGTGAAAGTAGGTGCACCTATAGTAATAAGTAGTTGCACCTATAGTTATAAATAGTTGCACATATAGTTATAAGCACACCCAGGTGCATGAATGTTTGCGGAAAGTGAATGCTATCAAGGCAAAATTACATGCACTTATAGGTGAAAGTAGGTGCACCTATAGTTATAAGTAGTTGCACCTATAGTTATAAATAGTTGCACAAATAGTTATAAGCACACCCAGGTGCATGAATGTTTGCGGAAAGTGAATGCTAACAAGGCAAAATTACATGCACTTATAGGTGAAAGTAGGTGCACTTGTAAGTGATTTTACTTGCACTTCGATGTTCAATTATTTATGAAAATGCCACCGCATTTTTTTTTAAGTTATTAGATCTGGACACGTGCCGCGCGCTGATTCGTTCGCATTTCCCTCCTGAGCACTTATTCGCACCTGAGTGCATCCCTATATATATATATATATATATATATATATATATTTTTTTTTTTTTTTAAATTTTTTTGAAACACTCATGATTCTTTACAAGGTAGAATCTGTTTTATACTTTCTCAATCTTTTACAGCCCAAAAAACCAATGCCCCCAGCACTAGAATTCAATCCTATGACCACCCTTATATCTAGCTTCAAATATATTGTGTGAAATAGATTGAAAGGCTCACCTCGGAACAAGTGTAGATAATTAAAGTCATCCAGTTCCAGTTCTCCAGAGATTGTCTCAGTTGGTTGCTAGTCGCTTCATGTAGAAAATATAGCAATGGGGGCATCAGCTGCATTTCATAGTGCCTAGATCCACCACAGAGCCTGCACATCCCAGGATCACTGTGCTCCGCAGAGGCTAATAGTGTCTTTCCACCATACGAGTATCTGGGTGTAATGGGGTAGAAAAGATGAAAGTGAATATGATGCTTATATTACAAAATAAAGTTCATTGTTAAAAAAAAAAAAAAAACAAAAAAAAACAAAACAAAAATCTTATGATTAACACTTAATAAGCAAGGGCAATCAACTTGCTTTCTATGTTCTCTTGGGCAACTGATAAAATTAGAATGGAGCTTACTATTGAGTATAAAATTAGAATGGCTCAATTGATAGAAAGAATGTGTATGCATTATAGGTGTAATGAAAACAATGATAATCCAAACCAAGTTCAGAGTAAATTGAACTATCAAGAAAGCAACTACTACAGATATATTATTACTTCAGGCTAGGAAAATTACAAGCGCTTTGATTAGTCTCAAAAGATCCTAGCTTCCCGATGCTATTACCTGAAACATTGCTGAGGGTATGAGTCCATTCGCTTTTTGAATTTAAGGTAAATCCTGTCCGCATTTGGTGCTCTGTCATATTCATAACTCTCTTCTTCCCACATTTCATCTTTTGAATGATCAGAATCAGCATTTTGTTCCTTGATAGAAAGCAGAGTGTCTTTTGAACATGCAGAACTGCTCTCTTTAGAGAATTTCTCCTCCTCAGCATGTATATAGAAACAAGGCAGCACTGCACTTAACAAATCGACAATATAACTATTTCAAGTTGAAAAAGAGACTAACAAATCCAAAGCCAAGTAAAAAAAGGAAGGTGATACACCAAAAACACATTAGATATGGCCTTAAACCTTTGAAATTTTATCACTTTTATTAAAACCTCAAGGCACCATTTTTGTTTTATTGGCTGAATCATGAACAAATTCACACTTTATCCACAGAAATTTACTAAATTTGCTCCTAGGAGACCACATTTTGGCAAAGCAAGTGAACAGACTCAACAAACTAGATCTTATTGGTATTGCTTCTCCTAAGCATAAAATATAAGTAGCTCTATTCAGCAACCTGCATTATGTTAATCAGTACTGACAAGTGACAAGGTTATGACCATCACCCGAAAGGCAAAACGGGGGTACTGGCATAAAATACCATCACATGAATGTATTTTTCAGTGGAATCAGAATCTACCTGGGATTTTTTCATCAATCACTCTAGCTGTGTGGCCTAAAGGTGAAGGTTTTGCATCACATTCATGATTGTGAATTTGCTTCTTGGATTGAGAAGCAAGGCTTGCAGCTTCAGAAAATGCTCTACTCAAGTCTTCCAAATCTATATCATCATTGTTTTCATTATCCTCCTCTTCAGTAGAATCAAATGTCCACAAATCCTTTTTCCAGTCATTATTTGTAGTAGAAACAGAAGATGCAGGTGCATGGGCAGACTCATCAGATGGGGGCTTTGATCCTTCACCACTAACAGATTTCTGAACCCGAATAGCTCTCCAGCTATATGCAAACAGAAATCACAAGTGTAACCAATCACCAGAACAACTATGGCATTTAACTAAATCCATACTGGAATTGAATTCTAAAGAGACCTTACAGGTGAGCTCCCACATTTTGGTGCAGCACAACCAAAAATATAAATTACACGTTCTTCAATGCTGGCATTCTTGCTTGAAATAGGAGCATAAACCTGAGAAAACCAAATGAAAGGAGAAATATAAAACAAAAGTTTAACAACCTTCTTGAATAAAATAAAATAAAGAATGACACAGTTAGTAAATAAAACAGTTATAAATTGTAAAACCTGTGCAAGGAGACAGAGATTGCTTTTACATGCACTGCACTCAAGCAGATGGGACCTCATCATGCTAACTGAAACAGGCCAATCCTAAAAGAAAAAAGTAGTTTATAGATCTAAAGAGAAGATTATAAAACAATAAATCAAAACAAAGACATTCAAATATCCTTACTGGAACTCCACCAATTTTTGTTGTATAATGATCAGCTACTTCATAGATATCATCAGCCCATGGCCCAGGCATGCCTAAAATAACTTCAACCATCTTTTTATCCTGACCCAACAAAGCTAATGGCAGATACAATTTGAAGTGAGTTGCATTTCAATTGACCAAGTACATAGAATGAGAAAGTTTTGGTCAATGGTGGATAAAGGAATCTAAGGGTAAACTTCTAAATAATTCAAAACATAGGAAAGTTGAAGTTTTGGTCAATGGTGGATAAACTGAGTTGCATTTCTATTGTCTGGTTTATTGTATCAGCTTGGCTTTGACCTAGAAGCTACTGCTCTGCCTCTATAGGCTTTGCCATTGCCTATAGTTCATGACTATGATCGAGCTAAGTATGAAGTACAGGGCAAATTCGAAAGAACTGTTTGTAGGTATATTCACATCCTGGGACAAAAATTAACTAAAAATATTCTTTCTATTACATCAATGTATTTAATAAAAAAATACAAATAATTTCATGTTCTCCTCGTATTTCACTAAAAAAAGATCAAAAGTTTTCCAAAAATTCAAGTCATACAATACCAATTGCCAATGGAGAAAGAACAAATATATGTATATGCACACTCACTCTAGCTACCAACTATGTGAATTACACATGAAAAGAATCACAAAATCAAAATTTTAACATCAAAATTTAACTTTTATACTATATTATTATCCTAAGTCAATCAATATGCAATCTACAGAATAGTAGATTCATGAGTCAATATATAACTTCAGAAAAACCGAGACTTAGCGAAGGGTTTTTCTTTTGAATGCAATGTGGGTGTAACTAGGGGTGTGCATTCGGTAAATCAGTTGTTTAACCGAACCGAATCAACCAAACTTTTTAAACCATTTAACTGTTAACCGAACTGAAATTTCTGTTACCGAATTAACATAACAGAACTTTTTTTTTTAGGTTAATCAGCGAATTAACATAAGTTTTTAAACAAATTTCGAAAATCTTCAAATTATAAAAAGGAGACATATTTTCTATCGACATCTACAACAATAAACATTTAAGTGCTGATACAGAAAACATCAAACATAAATATTTGAGTATTTGTCTACTACTCTACTGGCTACTGGGGAAACAAAACTGAGAAAAAAACGAATTTCACACAACAAAATAAATTCACAGAATCACAGGATAGTCTTATTGTCTTAATACTTTTGAAATAAATAAATAAAACAAACCTGGCCAATGGAGGAGACGGAGCGACGGAGAAGATTGGAGCGGTGGAGGCTGGTCGGAGGAAACAAGAGCGGCGGTCGGCAGAACTGCAGTCGGCTGGAACTACTGGAGCGATGGCACAGAACTGCAGTCAACTGGAACTACTAAACTAGGGGTACAATTAGCTGATTTTAGATTTTATTTTTGTTACTAGTTTTGGGTGTTTTTTTTTTTTTTTTTTTAAATAAGTATTTCTAGTATATTAAGGCAAGATTATATTGGAATTGTTATGCATAGATAATTGAATGTTGAATTTGTGTATTTAAATAAGTAATTTTAAATTTAGTAGCATAAAAGGTAATTTTAAGTTTATAAATGCAAGTTAATATAGTCAAGATTGATTATAATTGTCAATTTTATAATTGTATTGGTATGGTTGAAACCAAATACGAGACATATCACATAAGGGAGAACAAATAAAAATTACTGCATAAAATATTAAATATGTACTAATATTGAAGAGCTAACTGCTAATTGCTAGACAAAGACATTGCTAGGTACTTTTTCACTTCAATTTGGTGTGTGATTTAAATACTCTTTTGTCAATAAATCTCCCAATTAGTTAATATGATTGGCTTAATTATATATATTTTTTATTTTTATTTTCTAAAGCAATTATTATTATTATTATTATTATTATTATTATTATTATTATTATTATTATTATTATTATTATTATTAAATATCTAAAAACATAATAAGCCTCAATGAAAGTTATATCCTTGATTTATGTCCATCTCCTTGTATGCAAATAAATATATACATTTTACTTTAAATGTTGTACATTACAATGTTATTAGACAAAACTACCCTTACACCGTTATAACACCGTTAGTTTTTAATTCTAACTTTAATAACACATCATTGTTACCATACACCTATATCTATCATATCTTTTTCTTATTTTTAATTATCATTTTATTAAAATCATTATATATTAATTTAATACTTAATTATATTTTAATTAAATTTCTATGAATGATAAATATATAATTCAAATTATAATTTTTAATTATTTATATATATATATACTAGCATTGTGTACGCGCGATGCGCAAAAATTTATGCCCAATATTAAAACATTGATAAATATAAATAATTAAAAATTATAATTTGAATTATATATTTATCATTCATAGAAATTTAATTAAAATATAATTAAGTATTAAATTAATATATAATGATTATATATATATATATATATATATATATATATATATATATATATATATATATATCCTTTAGGGCAATTTACATGTTAATCTAAACAGTAAATTTTTTCAAATATCTTTTTACCAACCGTTGATATAATTCGCTGGTCAAATCCGCTAATATAATCCGCTAACTGCTGATTGTCAAACAAGGACATTACGAGATAGTTCTCACTTCAATTTGTTGTGTGATTTGAATACTCTCTTTGTCAACAAATCTCGTAGTTAATATGATTGGCTTTATTAATTATATTTCTTTTTTTAATTTTTTTATGATATTAATAAAATACTTGGTAAATAAATATATAACATTATTTTGTATTATAACTTTGATATTTAATTAAAAAATAGTGCACAAAAAAGATAATAGACAATGTAGTGAATATAATAATTGATGAATTTGAATGTAAAGTATTATTTTTTTGTTGTAGCTACTAAATTATTATTTAATTTAATAAGAGTAAAATATAGTACTAATTATGCCAACTTTGATTGTGATGTAGTTCTAACCTAAGACCTTTTTTATTGAAATCAATGAGTAAATTAACGGTGAACTAACAGAAATTAACGAAAAAGATAATATTTAACACAAAAATTAACGGATAATCATATTCATTAAGGATAAATTAGAAAATCTTAAGGAAAAATTAAAATCTGATTAATCTGAGCCATTCATTTGATTATCAAATTTGACCGCCATTTTTTCTACCCAATATAGGCCTAACTCTCTTGGGCTCTTATTAATATATATATAATATACTAGTTTTTTACGCGCATTGTGCGATTGGGATAATGGCCAATGCTTTTTTGTTAAATAAGTACTTTAAAGTATATTAAGGCAGGATTATATTGAAATTGTTCATGCATAGATAATTGAAGGTTGAATTTGCGTATTTAAATAGGTAATTCTTCTTCCAAAGGTTGAGTCCCCAACCCCAAGGGCCCCCCACACTCCGGCCCGACAGAGCATTGTGGGAAGTTGTAACCCCAAGGGCCCCCCACACTCCGGCCCGACAGAGCATTGTGGGAAGTTGTAATCACGGTGACTCAATGGTTCAGCAGACAGGGCCAAATGCTGATACGCACAAGGAATCTGCCCATCTTGGACATAATTCCCGCACTGCCGCCGCCAAGGTTCAAACCTTGGTCTCTTCTCCCAAATACTACCCACTAAACCATTGAGCTAAGCCCGTGCGAGTTAAATAGGTAATTCTAAGTTTACAAATGCAAGATATAATAGTCAAGATTGATTATAATTGTCAATAAAATAATTGTATAGGTATAGTTGAAACCAAATACGGGATATAAGGGAGAATAAATAAAAATTAGGGCATAAAATATTAAATATATACTAATATTGTTTGAGGAGATTCCGACATTAGGATTTGTGGTTAAGTTCTATTAAGACTTTAGTATTAGAATTAGATTAATGGTGTAGTTATAATTCTATATTAGACTTTAATATTAGAATTAGACTAACGGTGAATTAACGGAAAAGTTAAATGGATAATCATATAATTAAGGATAAATTAGAAAATCTTAAAAGAAAAAAATTAAAACCTGAACAATATGAACCATTCATTTGATTTAATAATTTGGCGGTCATTTTTTCTACCCAATGTTAATAATTAAATAAATTCGCTTGTCAAATCCGCTAGTATAATCCGCTAACGCTAACCGCTAACTGCTGATTGTCAAACAAGGACATTGCGAGGTAGTTCTCACTTCAATTTGTTGTGTGATTTGAATACTCTCTTTGTCACAAAATCTCTCAAGTAGTTAATATGGTTGGCTTTATTAATTATATTTTTTTAATTTTTTCATGGTATTAATAAAATACTTGTTAAATAAATATATAGCATTATTTTGTATTATAACTTTGATATTTAATTAGAAAAATAATGCACAAAAAAGATAATAGATAATGTAGTGAATATAATCAATTGATGAATTTGAATGTAAAAATTTGTGCATTTGAGAAAAATAAAGACAATATAACTAATGAAAATATTTCTTTTAATTAATTTATTGATAATTAATAATTTTTTTTCACTGAATAAAGACATTGTAAGGACAATGTAGCGAATATAATCAATTAATAAATTTGAATATAAAGAATTTTTATATTGAAAAAAAATAAAGACAATATAACTAATAAAATTATTTCTCTTATTTAATTTATTTCTCTTAATTAATTTATTGATAATGAATAATTTTTTTTTTAATAAAGACATTGTACGGACAATATAGCGAATATAATCAATTGATAAATTTGAATGTAAAGAATTTTTATATTGGAGAAAAATAAAGACAATATAACTAATGGAATTATTTTTCTTATTTAATTTATTGATAATGAATAATTTTTTTGAATAAAGACAGTGTTGTAGACACATAATTCTAAATTAAAGTCATTCATTTGATTACAAAATTTGACCATCATTTTTTGTACCCATTATAGGCCTAACTCTTTTGGGCTCTATTATTAGTATAGTATATATATATATATATATATATATATATATATATATATATATATATATATATATATATATATATATATATAAACATAATAAGTGTCAATACAAGTTATGTCCTTGATTTTTGTCCTTTTTTTATATGCAAATAAATGTATACATTGTGCTTTAATTGTTTTACATTCATTTGCATTGGACAAAATCACCCTTATATCGTTATAACACCGTTAATTTTTAATGTATCTACCAATCTTACCATACACCTACATCTATCATATCTTTTTCCTATTTTTAATTATAATTTTATTAAAATTATCATATAACAATTAATTTAATTATAAATTATATTTTAATTAAATATTTATATGAATGTTAAATTATATATATATATATATATATATATATATATATATATGTATGTATGTATGTATATTATTTGTGTATCCATATCAATATATCATATATGTGAGTGTTAGCTTAGTATTATTTGTAAATTATTATTATATAAAAGTATAATTTATTTTTTTTGTTTTGATCACTATATTATTCAAATATATGATAATTCAAAAGTATCATCAGTTTAAGAAATTGCAAAACATAATTTTAACTAATTTTTTAAATTTTGTTACTTACAAATATTTTAATATTGGACATAAGTTTTCGCGCATCGCGCGTACAAAATGCTAGTATATATATATGAGTTCTACTACATAGACTCCCAAAATTCTACTCCCTTCACTACAAGAAAAATGCACATAGACAACGGTTATTAACCGTTGTCGTAGGGGTATAGTTTCTGTTGTTGAAGCCGGTGTTGTTGTAAGTCCCGCGCATAGACAACGGTTTTTTAACCGTTGTCTTTTCTAGAAACAACAACGGTTTTTTAACCGTTGTCTATTAAGTGTTGTTGAAGCCGGTGTTGTTGTAAGTCACGCACATAGACAACGGTTAATAACCGTTGTCTTTTCTAGAAACGACAACGGTTTTTTAACCGTTGTCTATTAAGTGTTGTTGAAATCGGTGTTGTTAAAAGTCACGCACATAGACAACGGTTAATAACCGTTGTCGTTTCTAGAAACGACAACGGTTTTTTAACCGTTGTCTATTAAGTGTTGTTGAAACCGGTGTTGTTAAAAGTCATGCAATAGACAACGGTTATTAACCGTTGTCTTTTCTACCAACGACAACGGTTTTTTAACCGTTGTCTATTAAGTGTTGTTGAAACCGGTGTTGTTAAAAGTCATGCAATAGACAACGGTTATTAACCGTTGTCTTTTCTACCAACGACAACGGTTTTTTAACCGTTGTCTATTAAGTGTTGTTGAAATCGGTGTTGTTAAAAGTCACGCAATAGACAACGGTTAATAACCATTGTCTTTTCTACCAACGACAACAGTTTTTTAACCGTTGTCTATTAAGC